CCTAAATTCTTAGTCGTCATACCGAGAAATATTCAATCTCTTATACATACCCAGCATTAGTGACAACGTATATTCTCGCACAGTGCATACCTAGCTTGGCAACATTCTTTGCGTTGGCTTTCTCGGCTTTCGACTCTTTCCTATCGGCCTTAGACTGTCTTTTGTTCAGGGTGAGTGTGGATGCCTCACCAGTGGACCCGCGTTTGGACTCATCATCCACCCCTTCCTTGTTGCCTAGACCGATCTTGCTCAACCCTCCTTTAATTGAATGCATGGTGCTGGTGAATAATCTGGTGGATATGAACTTTCGTGCGGTGTGGCTGTTGACTTATGAACTCAGCCAAGTATGTTCAGCTGTACAGTGTAGATCGTACAGTACCATCAGTATTATCAGTACAATCAGAATACAGATATTGTACATACCTCTGACTCACTTTGGGCCCTTGGGGAGGGTGGGCAAGAGGGCGAAAACACAGTCAGTATTTAACCATTTCAGATAATATTAAAAATTTAAAATAAAAATTAATTTTATTTTTTAGCAATAAATGGTACTATATTTATTAGAAGAAAAAAACGTTTTCAGCTATGAACTGTATTTTGGGTCCAATATCCAGGTCAGTGGGTTGCCCGTAATTAGACTACATCAGGCATCAGCCCCGCCGAACGGCCCCTGGCCTGTGAGAAATAGGTGTACTTTCGTGGCCGTGATAGCGAATAAATTCAAAATCAGGCTAAAATATATATTACGAAACGTTTCAATGTTTATAACTCATTACATAAATGTGAAACCATTCTGCTTTCGCCTTTCAAGTTTCAACGCTGTCGCAGCTCTCATTACGTTTTACGTTGCCACGTTGGAATTTCAGTCAAAAATGCCAAGTGTAAATTCTTATTATTTTAGTTTGACCGTTTTCCTGCATATTGGTAGTCCCAAATATAAAACTTCTCCATTTTCGAGATCAGATTGTTGTTTCATTTTGTCCTGTCAACCGACATATCATCACTTTCCTATATTTTTATTGGCGTGTGAAAAGTTTCGTGGCCAATAATTCTAAAATAGACGCTCGAGCCAGGTCAAACTGTGAATATGATTTAGGCCAAAATATTATATAAAAACGTAAAGGTACAACTTTTGTCTTTTTTAGGAGGGTAAAAGAACCAAGAGTCCTATTCAAGACATGAACTTTGTACTAAAATAGCAATCAACTATGAGGTCTGCGTCGCAGTGATTGTCAGACGATAAAATAAGCAAATGAAATCGAAAGTAAGGGCTGCACGGTATGTATAAAACCTGCCTATGATTAGCCAAAAGTCTAGTTTTAATTATATTACTTTATTTATTGATTTGAAACCTGTCATATATTTAACCCCCAATGAGATTTAACACTATTCAATAACGTAGATTCCACAATCCACACTCACTCTCACAGTGATGAGTAAATACATCTCGGCTTCTGGTACCATTACAATACTTATTGAATCCTATTATACTACCAAGAATCACATAGATAATTTTTGGGGGGGATTATATTTCCAATTTCTATATGCTCCAGTAGAACAGCCTGTCACGCCACAAGAGCCAGGGGTCTGGGGGAGACGGCCAAGGCGGGGGCCAACGCAAGAGAGACGAAGAGAAGGCGGGCAGTAGACACCATGACCAGGGTCCAGGGTCCCCACTGGGCCCACTCCCAGACAGGACCCAGAGGCAGAGACTATAGATAGCGCGCGAAAAGTGAAAACTTCCTTTGACAATAAAAATATTTTATGTTTTATAATAGTATAAAAACACAAAGCTGTATTACTGTATTCAAACCTAAATAATACAAAAATAGAACAACGAGTCAAAATACCCTCTCGGATATTTCACGGTACCAAAACAAGTCTCCTAAATCGCAACTTACAACTGGATTTGGGACTAAAACTGGACAAGCGACTGGGTGTTTGCGACATGACAGCTATTTAAATACAATAGACAGCTTGTTTGAGACATAAATATTTTTGCGACAGAGGTCTTATCAGTCCCATCTGACAGATTAATCCAGTTTCCACTCACGACCCTCGCCTACAAATGTAGTAATGATATAATAGCGGGCACTTGTGCGAGGCACCCGCACATATCATTCCTTCGCATACATCAATCCTATCTTGCTACCTCATCATACAGAATGCCTACCTGGGGAGGGTCTGCCGAAAAATGCTACCGTTGTAAGAAAAGCGTATGTTGGAATTCGCCTACTCTCTACATGATATCCAGGATAGAATTGGCGTGGGGATACATAGTTCAGCATAGTACTGTCAATTTGTGACGCTGTAACCTCTTTAAATATGTAGTGCACATAACACACATGACTTCATTGTTCATTTCGACAATCATTCGTGTAGTATGGTTTCATATATATATATATATATATATA